AATAAATACATCCACAGTCGGTTGAGCCGTCTGAAATGAAAAAAAAGCAGTGAAGGTCAATGGACAATTGACTCGAAGCATACCGGCATGATACTATCTTCAAGTGATTTGCCCAAGGCAAGCTGACCTATATTTGAGTGGTAAGAATTGGTAAGTTGAAGCAAAGCTGAAGAACTGTCAAAAATGCAACCTTGAACTTGCATGTGGTCGTGTTTTGATATACCGGATCTCGCCGGGTCTGGGCCAGCACAGCCACTTCTCGGAAAAGTCCGGTGGTCGACCGAATCATCGCTGGGACGGACCCTGGGCCCGTTGAACGACGACGAGCCACACAGGAACGGTTGAATACGAAGCCAGCCTTATAGAGGAGACCGTGGGTGATTTTCATTTTTTTTGTGTGAATGCTTCGGAGTTATGTGCGCGAATTTCGAAAGTTATGTGCGAGAATTGCCAGAGTTATGTGTGAGAGTTGTAAGTTGTACGCAAAAAAAGAGGTGTTGTGTTAGAAATTCGACATATGTGTGAGAAAAAAACATGTATGTGTGTGAAATAATAAAACAACATTCTGACCGCCATAGGGATACTCCTGCATGTAAACTTTAACTCTCGGCAGGTGCACACCATGTGCCACTGGGTCTTCCCTCCCTTGGTCAATCTTTGGATAAGTACACAGGCTAGGTATCTTGACATAAGCAGTCCAAGTAAGAAAAAAAACTGACAGGCAACTACTCATGACCCAGCCCCGAATCGAACGGGCCTCCCGCATACACTCGTTCAGCCTAGATATCTTTCCGCAGGCGCACGCCAATGCTACCGGGTCTCCTCCCCCTCCCTTGCTCACTCCCTTAGTGTGCTCTGTATACTTGCGCATTTACTTACACTCGACTTGGAACGAACGCAAAAACTCAACCGCACCCACTCCCAAACCAAGCAAGCAAGCAAAAGCAAAACAATTCACAATTCAAAGCACACCCAACCCTATGTACATACACACTACCACCTCTTCCCCCCAAACGCGAACCCCGTCCCTCCCCCACCCGTCCCCCCGCTCCCCGTAGGCGCAGCCGTCGCCCCAAACGTAAACCCCCCTACTCCTCCCCCTCCCCCTTGCCCTTGCCCTTGCGCTCCCACTTGCGCTCCCCCTTGTATCGATGGCGCCCCCGAAAACGCATTACTAAACGCCCCTGGCGCCGGCTGGGCCGTCTGCACACCAAATAGCGTTGAAGGGCCCTGGAGTTGCGGTTGCGGTTGCCCTTGAGGCTGAGGTTGGCCGGAGAACGAGAACGCCCCAACGGGCTGAGGCTGAGGCTGAGGCTGCGCTTGACCGCCGAACGAAAATCCCCCCACCTGCAGAGGCGCAGCGGATGTGGGCGCTGGCGCAGGGGCGAATGGGACCGAGATCCCGAGCGTCGGGCGGGCGGAGACGCCGAACGGCGTAGAGGTAGAGGCGGAGGCGGGGATGGCGGAGGTCGAGGTGGAGGTGGAGGACGAAGAGGGAGAAGAGGCGAAGATCTGCGCGGAGGTGAGCTCCGCGCCGGTGCGGAGGTAGGAGAGGCGGAGTTCCTGGGGGTGGGGATTCGTTAGTAAAGGCGGAAGGCGGAAGGCGGAAGGCGGAAGGCGGAAGGGGGGTGGAGAAAGATACAACATAGAACATGGAACACGAACAGACAAACGAAAGGAAAGAACGCAAAACGCAGAACGCACCTCGACGCTATGCCCCGCAAACTCAGGCCGCGCACTGATACTCTGCAGCTGGTCCCTGTCGCCCGGGGAGCCCACCCCGCCGCCCGCTGCGAATAGGCCGGGGTTCAAGTTGTTTAAATTGGAATTGGGATTGGAGTTAGAGGCGAACGCGGAACTATTGTACGCGGTGTTGAGGAGCGCCGGGCCGGACGCGGATGTGCTGGGGAACACGGAGGCGGAGGGGTAGGTAAAGGCGGGCCCGGCGGGCGGGGCGCGCGTGTTGCGGAGGTAGGCGTAGTAGCGGAGTTCCTGCGTGCCAGGGGGAAATCAATTCTCAATTCTCCACAAATGAAGAAGGAAGAAGGAAGAAGATAGAGATGAAGAAGCGGCACAGCACGCACCTCGGGACTAAAATGCGCGTACTCGGGCGCGGCGGAGATGCTCACGAACGCCTCACGCTCGACGCCCTGCTGCACGGGCACGGGGTGTGGGAAGCCCTGGGTGAGGGGGAGGCGCGCGGGGTCGGTTATTGTGCTGGCGTTTGCGCCTGCGCTCGGGCCGCTTGTGCTCCCGCCGACGCCGAAGGGGCCGCTGCTGCTGCCGGCACCCACGCCCAATCCAGCAGGGCCGAAGAGCGATGAGGCAGAGGAGGCGGTGGGCGGGTTGGACGGGTCCGCGGGGAACGGGGTGGGCACGAAGAGCGGGGGGAGGCCCTGTGCGGCGCGCGCGGCGGGCTCTGCGGGGAAAGCTGGTACGGGGGGTGGAGGGCGCCCCGTGCTGCGGTAGGCGGTGAGGTAGTCTGCTATTCGGATTTCCTGGAAGCACAGCGACGAATTGGAGAAGAGACAAAGTCAGTGAGTGGCCTCTCCAAGCGAGGAGATGGGGATTGACCTCGAATGATTGGGAGCTGGGGCCGGTGAGGAGGACGGCGGGGAGGGACATGCAGAGCTCGGCGCCGGCGGCAGGCGCGACGGGGGCACCGAAGACCATCGTTGATGTAGGGAGTCGCAGGAGATGTTCGTGTCACCGCACGTGAAGAGGTGACGACGTGACTCCTTGCCGCCGGGGCCGTAAATTCAGTTCGATTTCTGTCAAACAAACTCAGACGGACACGGTAGATTTAAAAGATACGACTGTCAGGATCTGTGAAGGAAAACCCGCGCTTCAGGGTGGGAGTTCACCCCGTCCAACACGATTCAATTTAGGAATTTAAATGAACACACAACTTCGTCGCCGCTCTTGCAATCATTCCATCAGCAATATGACAAAAGTCTTGTGACCTTTTGATCTTTTTGTCCTGTAAGAAAAAAAAAAGTTCGCAGAAATGCTCCTTAGAATCAAAAGGTAGGTAGGTAGGTATATTCCGACGCGGTCCCGTTAAGAAACAGCCGGTGTCCGTACTACATACATTGCGTCACATGTATGCTACGGATGCCCTTCTTCGTCAGTCATTTGAGCACATGAGAAACCCTTTCGCGCCTTCCCCACAACAAGTAGAAAAAAATTAAAAGTACTGTGTGGGCTTACGAGGCTACGACCGGATCCCCAAAGGGATAGGTCTAATTTTTTTTTTTGGGACGTCTGGTGGGATTTTTGACCTAGCCTGTGGTCTGGTGATCTGGCGGTCTTTTTCGACCTGTACAGTCCTGTACAGGACATTACAGGACGTCACAGGACACTTGTCAAAATCGCGATGTCGACACCAACACATGGAACACCAATGGAACACTCACATGAATTCCATGCACCCAGCCCTACAAATATGACCTGATAGCATACGGCTATGCATTTACCACAACTACCGCTTTGTCCGTCATACTGAAGTAGGTAGACAACCCCGGTTCGACTCCGGGTCAGGTCATGGGTGATTGGCTGAAAGAAGTTTTTTTTTTTTTCCAACCTGACTTCTTCGTGTTTCTTCTCACATCTTTCTGTCTCCTGAACTGGCAGTATTCAACCAAAGGTGCACTGCACCCTGCCCTCACTTTACATCATATTATACTTGTGTGGTCCACAACATGAACGACAAGTTTACTGAAGACAAACATGCAGTAGTGTACGGGTGGTTATCCATACATAAAAACCACAAGATGCCAACGGAACACACAGAGATTCCGGGGGGGCAATGACTACAAGATGCTGGCTAAATGTGAACTGGCTGGGTATATTTCAGTTGGTACCCACCATAAAATAACCTGGTAGCACAATGCAGTGCATCTGCTCAACATGATTTTCTGTTTCATCCACATCCATGTAGAAGACCCCGGTTCGACTCCGGGCCAGGTCATACGTCTACAGTGCTCGTTTCCGCACACTTTTTTTTTGTTTTTTGTTTTTTTGCTCCAGGTTCAAACTTCCAGTTTTCTGTCCGTCGCATTGACAAACATCTTTCTTCCAAGCCCTCAAACCTCGTGGAGCCTCTTCCACCCTTCCCTCACTACGCATTACATTGGACCGTAAGGTATATCTCAGTTGGTATCTACCATAAAATGACCTGGTAGCACAATGCAGTGCATCTGCTTAACGTGCTGTAGTACTTTCCCATCCATGCAGAAGACCCCGGTTCGACTCCGGGCTAGGTCATAGGTCTATGGCCTCAGGTCCGCACACTTTCTTGCTACAGCTTACTTCCAGTTGCCCATCTGTAGTATCCGAAAAATTCATCTTTCTTCCAAGCCCTCAAACCTAACGGAGCCTCTTCCACCCTGTCACTTGTGACCTTGAGGTATATTTCAGTTGGTACCTACCATAAAATAACCTGGTAGCACAATGCACTGCATCTGCTCAATGTTCTACTCTGCAGTCCACATCCATGCAGAAGACCCCGGTTCGACTCCGGGCCAGGTCATACGTCTACGGTGCTCGTTTCTGCACACTTTTTTTTTTTTTGCTACAGCTTCAAACTTCCAGTTTTCTGTCCATAGCATTGAAAAACATCTTTCTTCCAAGCCCTCAGACCTCATGGAGCCTCTTCCACCCTTCCCTCACTTGGCATGATTTCGGGTATATTTCATTTGGTACCTACCATAAAATAACCTGGTAGCACAATGCAGTGCATCTGCTCAACATAAATTTTCTATCTATTTCCATGCAGAAAACCCCGGTTTGAATCCGGGCCAGGTCATAGGTGGTGCGCGGTTCTGCTCATTTTTTTTTTGCCACAGCTTACTTCTACGTAGTTCCCTGTTCATCGCATCCAAAAATACACTCCCGCATGATTCTTCCAAATGACCGAGCCTCCATCGTATACCTCACCTCACTCGGCATTACATTTGACCTTCGAAAGTATATATTTCAGTTGGTACATACCATAAAATAACCTGGTAGTGCACTGCAGTGCATCTGCTTAACATGCATAATCGGTCGACTTCTATGCAGAAGACCCCGGTTCGACTCTGGGCTAGGTTATTTGGTTTCCGTTTGCTTTTCGATGTTTTTGTTCATTTTCCCTCCAGAAGCGCAGAAAGATCAGTGGAAGTCGGGGATGTCGCTTTGAGCCTAAAAATTTTTCAGCGCAATCTTCACCTTAGTGTTTCCTCACAAAGAGACTGGTTTAATTTTGAACACACGTCGAATCAGTTGATGATGGGATCACCCACCGCTATGGACGGGTGATTTGTGAGTTTACTAAAGCTGAACAAGCTACTACATTGCCATTCTGTTCGTAAAATTTGGATATTCACCGACCGAATTTGACAGAGTAGGACCAGGTCCAGCATGCCCTCATTCGATTAAAAAACTAGCCGGAATCCAAGGACCAAAGGGAATAACAGGTCAATATATCTACGAACCGCACCGTTCGTGCAACGTATCTCCAAGCAGGGTTTAAGACGGCGGAGTTTTCCTGCAAAGTTTCGGGGCGTCTTCAATAACTTGGGTGCCCACGGCGAAAAAGAAGTCTTACGGCACGTTAGTGTGACCCGGTGTGGTTCATCTTCTTCGATAAATTTGAGGCTTATCAGAGCTTCACTCTTCGCAATAATCAACTCTGCATGCACGAGCCTCGGTTTATTTCTGCAGTCCAACCAAAGATTTATGAAGCACAACTTGTTGCAAAATCAGTATGAATAAAGGTGGTACTAGTCTGTTGGCCTTCGTGAATTACTATATTCTATACAGTGGAAAGAGTAGCATAGCAATCCATTATCAGTTGTCAAAGAGTGCATCCCACTCTACCCAGGACCGCCTCCTCATGCCTTTCTCAGTGCAGCTCTTCACACAGGACGCAGTGAGACCGTCTAGATCGGAGCTCGTCTCATTCCTACACCTTGCGTTAAATACGCCAGGCATTCCGAGAGAAGAGCCGCACTCACACAGGACTGAAGAGGAACGCGGGGTTTGCGGGGTCGACGAACAACCACACCGAGCTCGGCTTCAGGCCCGCGGCTTGCCACCCGCTGACTGATGCGGGGAAGTACGGCAGCGTCGCGGTTATGCTGAGATCGTGCGTGAACAGTACGAAGAAGTCCGGGTCCGCGTCGAGCGCGGCGATCTTGTCGATCGACACCGTAGCCGCGACGGGGTCCACGTAGAACGAGTCGGGGGTATCGGAGACGGCGAAGAGCGGCTGCGCGCGCGAGGGGATGTCGAATGCGCCCGGCGTGCTGTTCGAGGACCAGAAAAAGTCGGTTGAGATGGCGCTACGCGCCTCCTCGAGAAGATCACCAGGGCAAGGGAAGTTCGTTTCGAAATTGCCGTGCGGACGGAGCTCCCCCACGTGGTGCAGTGCGTCGGCACCAAGGAGAATGAATGATGTAGGTGTAACCCGGGCGAGAGCGGACATGTGTCCCGTCAAGTGCTATATAGTGCATTTCGTAAGGATAGAGTTGAAAGATACGGGGGTGGTACGCACACCGGGTGTGTCGAGCAAATAGAAACTCCCATCACCGAAATAGTCGATTGCGGGCATGCCACTGATTGTCAGGTTGGCGTTGTCGAAATCCAATGTCTGTAAGCTGTGCCCACTGCAACCCCTTCAGCCACTATGTGGTTGGAAAATAAAGGGGAAGCTCACGCTAAGTCACTCGGTTGCAAGTCCGAGCCAGAGAAATCCGGAAAGGTAGTGAGATTCGTCTTCGAAGAAACGATAAGTTGAGTGCTATTCGGGAATTTGGACATGTCGCCTAATATGTACATGCATTGGAACAGAACGGCGGGTACACTGAAATCGTACATACCGATGTGGTCAAAATGAGCATGACTGCAACATATTGTCAGCCGGAAAAAGGACCACAGTATGTACATAACACACCTCCAGAAAACCATATCAATGCTGTCTAGCGAGACGCCGCCGTTCTGCAGAAGCTCCGTAATATCACTGAAATTTCCGGCTGTAACTGCCTTAGACGAAAAGAAACCAGCGAAAGCCGGCGGCAGGTTCTGCGGATCGTTGCGCATCCCGAGGTCGAACATGAAGGTTTTCTGGCTTGTTTGGTGTTCGACGAGATAGGCGTGAACGGGGAGTGTGATGGTCTCCCGACCAGGGAGGACAGGATGGACAAAAACGTGCGTGAAGTTGTTGAGTGTGAGATTTGCGACATTGAATGCCTTCACATCCACCGTGGAACTGGAGGCCAGGATCCCAAAATCTTGGAACCCTGCGAAAGCCGGCACGGCGGGGAGGATAAGCGCGAGTAGGGAAGATCTGGAGAGCATTTTCGAGTCGGTGGTGAGGATGCCAAGTCACTTCATTCCTTAAGTAGTTCTACTCGCCAATCTGAAAGCGCCGCCACGGTCCCCGTTACGAGACCGTGGCTGTATCTCCGTGTCCCCGTGTCAGTGATGGTCGTTATTCGGTGATCAATTGAACGGATAGATTAGCGAAGGAGCTTCATGACAGGTGAAGACAACGGCTATCCAAGTCCAAGCACAACTTCCAAACCGGCGAATCGACGCGCCCCCCAGTCTTCCAAAGGGACGTCCTTGAGACACATAGGAGCGGACCTTCTGGTTTCAACAGTCCTCAAGTCTCGGCTGGCTTCGTAGGAGAGACAAAGTTGAACGAAAGACGTGCCCGGCAGAAACCTCGGTTTTGTCCGAGTCGCGTCCAGGTCGAGTCCCAGGTCGGACCCCGAGCCAGCCTGACGGGCGATCTGTCAACACGGTGAACACGGTCGCTATGCGGTCACTGTAGAAGATTTGAAACTGAGTGGGCGCATTGGCCATGGCTGTTACCGGTTGTCGTAATTCGAAGTTTCAAGGTGGATCGCAAGGTGGATCGCTCGGAACCTGGTGAAGCGATCCACCTCGGAACGTGAAGGAGATCAAGTCTCTTGGTCATCTGTCACGACGCGCGGCACGTGAATCGTGCGCTTATCACAACTCTGTTACTCGTGACGGTGCCTAATTCTTCCTTCTTTCTCCCATTGAGGGTCTCCGGGTTTCTGGTCCAATCAGGCCCTCGCTTTTGCAGTTCATGTACCAATTGCATTCAAACCTGACATCTCCGCCTCTCCGATGACACCCACAACCATTCCCACGGACCACCACCGATTGCATGGGATGTATCGTGTACGTCGTACGACTCGGACTCCTGGACGCGACTCCGTTCATAGAGCATGCCGGGAGCAAAACCGTAATTTATTCCCGGTATGCCCCCTTGTCTTTTTATCGGACTTGGTTGGTTCCGAGTCCCTCTTCACAGGCCCGTTTTTCTTATTTTTTTATTAGGTTTGGCCTGTTCACGGCGCTAAGGTTTTACAGAACTTGGTTGGGGTTGGGCAGGTGATCTATCAATCGTACCGCACGACGTAGGGGTCAATTTCATCTCTGGAGACCGTTTAGGTAATTTTTGCAATACATCGCATCAGCTCTTGATATAACTTGCGCGGTAGAGATGTCGTCGACACGCGTAACGCCGCCATTTTCCTCATGGAATACTGCTTCTCCTAAAGTCGCGGGCCTGGTATCTGGGGCCGGGTTCTCGAAGTACCTTGGCAGGCCATCGTAAATAACCTCGAGGTCAGCTTTTCCAGTCATGCATCCAAGCAGCACCGCAACAGACAGCTTTCCAGATGTGGCCTCGTTTGATGTATCGCCGGCCCTGTAAATCAATCGGCATGTATCTACAGCGGTAATAGATGACGGTTTTAGTCAACGTTTGGTCCGCTGCGCGCAAACGAAGCTCCGAGATCCAAACACGTCCAGACAGCAACAAATCTATCCTTCTTTTTTTCTCTCCCTTGGTCATTCTTGCCATTCCCGCGTGCTCCCAACATCGGTACGCTCACCCCTCCCGTTCTCAATCACCATGTCGTCTTCGAGTTCTGAGCTGGCGCCGGACCGCGAGGCCCACGAGAATATTATCAAGACTATCCTCTATCATGAGCTACTGGAAAAACATCTCGTACCTCCGAAGGAGCTGGGGATTCCGCTCAAACAGCTCTATCCCGGAGACTGGAATTGGCACTTCGAACAGGTTTACCGTCGTAAATACGGTCCCGACGCAGATCCTGAAGCCTGGAGGGCCGAGAACTTCGATTACTTCGATTTGGAGATGCTTTCGTACGTGCGGAATCTCGGTCTGTGCAACCAAGAGATTGCGAGGACGAGCAAAATCTTGCTGCGAGAGGAGGGAATGCTCGTGGGAATGGCGATTGAGGAGCTCGTCGATGGCAATTTTGAGGCGACGTAGACTGCTTTGGAAATAGAGGCGAAACGGGGGTTCGTACTCGATGGATTAGTCCGCGGTGCCTTCCAGGCGCGCGAGAAAAGTCGCTTCGACTGTCCGGAAATGTCTCTCTTTGGCCTTAGCGGCGACGGGGAGTACAAGCTCGTCAATCTTGTGAGTCAGACGATTGTTTCGCTCTCCCTGTGAACCTCCTCAAAATATTCATCCTTTTTCTCAGCTCAAGGCGATCGTCGCGCATGACCCCACTGGCAACCTCCGAGTCAAGTCGCTTTATTTGTTTTCGCATCCCGCAGTCGAGCGGGAGTACGGTTACGCCAGCAAAGCTCAGACGCCGGACAAAATGCGCGCGTTTGGATATCTTCGAATAATACAGCGTAATCTGTACATCGTACAGACTCTCATCGGAATCCTCGAAGCATACGTGCGTTCCTTCCGTTTTTTATGTCTCACCGCTAAGCCTTATCCTATTCATACACAGGCTGGCAAACCCGCACCTGAGATATCGATCAAGGCGGAGGCGGAAGCCAAGCAACGCCAGGCATGCTATTCGTGCGGCGCTGCTTCAACTGAGGATGGAGTTGCCTTGAGGAGGTGTAGCGGGTGCAAGCTGGTGGTATATTGTTCTAGGTGTGTCACAACACGCGCCGCGTTGTTCACAACTCACGCACGTATATCGATCTCTTAGTCAGTGCCAAGAATGCGACTGGCGCGACCACAAGAAGCTTTGCGGCAAGCGCTCCTGCTCCAGGAGCTGGCGTATATGGGCCAGCGCTATGAA